GGGTCATGTTTTTTCCGATAATTAGTAAATCCTAGCAATAGTGGAGGTGAAGACCAACCTCTGCCAGAGATAATATTTGTGTTTGCTCTTAGGATCCCATGATCGTGCGGTTCTTCTGTACGAGTATGTTGGGAAAAAGACGGTGGACCTGCAGCACACCGAAGTTCCAGATGCTTACAGAGGGAGAGGAATCGCCAAACATCTTGCCAAAGTAATTTTTTTAAACCCAGATTTTGTGTTTGTTCACGAAACAAGAAGGTAGGCTCTGGCAATGCTCAGTTGGTATTAAGGTGCCAAAAGTGTGCCGAGAAAATATCCTCCACACCATTAAACCACCATCAGGCTGAATTGTTGACGTAAAGCAGGGTGGAGCTATCCTTTCATATTGTTTACACTAAATTCTGACCCTACCTTCTGAATGTCACATCAGAGCTTAAGACTCAATGTTTTACTAATCTTCTGTTGTCCAATTTTGTGAGCCTGTGCAAATAGTAGCATCAGTTTCCTGTTCTTATCTGATAGGAGTGGCACGTAGTGGGGTCTTCTGCTGCTGTAGCGCTTCTCCTTCAAGGTTTGACATGGTCTTAATTCAGAGACGGTCTTCTTCATACTTGAGTTTTAATTACTGGTTATCTAAGTTGTAACTATTGTCTTCTAATCAGCTTAAAACAGTCTGTGCATTCTCCTCACAAGCAAGTTTCTCGATTATTGCCATTCTCTGTAAACCCATAATATGGCTGTGTTGGAAAATCCCTGTAGATCAGCTTGTTTTTGAAAATCTCAGATCAGCTAATATGACACCAGGAACATTCCAAGTCTCTTAAATCAACCTTTCTCCTCTATTCTCATGCATGGTTTGAATTTCAGGAGGTTTCCTTGATCATGTTTACATTCCTTTTTGAGGTTCTGCCATGTGATTAGCTGATTAGATATTTGCATTTATGAGCAGCTAAAAAAGTGTACCATACATTGAGAATCGAAAATGTTTCCACTTAAATTGTTGTCCTAGGAAAGGCCAGATGATTTTGATGTGAGCTGTTATGCACCATGTCATTGCAGGCAGCCATGGATTTTGTGGTGGAAGAGGACCTGAAAGCTCACCTGACCTGCTGGTACATTCAGAAATACGTGAAAGAGAATCCTCAGCCTCAATACTTTGAACATATTTATCAATGATCCTGCATGGCAGCGAAGGAAGGTGGCAAAATGGACTCCAAGGAGAGAAATACTGCGTGGCGGCATGCTTTGGAGTTACAGGAGAACACGCGACAAAGGATCTTCTAGGCATGGTTAAACACAACAGTGACTGAATCCAGAGAAATAGCTGAATCTCGGACCATAGACGCCTGTGAGTTGACCGTTTGATCGACTGATAGCTCTCTGCATAAACATGAGGATACACACTCGCTATAGGCAGGAGGGGAATCAGCCTATCACGACTTGTACAAACAAAGCAACCAAAGGTGAAGCCTGTTACCTCAGACAGAAACTTCCAGGACCCAACACTGACAGAGCAGATTTGAGTCAAATGTTACAGTGTGTTGCAGATTTCTGTCCTCAACTGGACTCACTGGTCATGAGCAGCACTACAAGGTGACCACCCCTGGTGTTTTTGTCTTTGATGACTCCACTGATGCTCAAATACTCTTTTTTTTTGTGTTATGTAAATTGCAACCTCTCTTTTTCATTTTTTTTCTTATTCTTTGCAAATAATTCAATTTAACCCCTTCTTCTCAAGTTTTTAGAAATTCTGTTTCTTAGAACTGATATGCTAGTGTAGAAGGTTATGTATGCAAAAAGGCTTAAAAACAACAACACAAATATAAATTTGTTTTGTAAGTGTCAAAGTGGGAAAGCCGAATCTGAATTTGACCAATATTCCTCCTCAGAGAGCCTTGTTTTAAACATCACTCCATCTACTTTCATTCCTCCTCCACATAACAAAAATGAAGTTATTCCAGTCGTATATCAATTCACCGAGCGATCAAAGGTGTAGAAAACAGTGACGATGTCTGACTGAGCCTCAAGATAACTCCTGCTCTTTCCATCGTACATTAAATGTTACAGACATTGCTGATGAACGGGGTCCTGGTGTGGTGTGACACATCAGTGTGTGTATGTATAGATGTCTCTGTTCGAACCAGCAAACAAAAACGGCACTGTTCTTTTCAGGGCATTCACATTTATGTGGTGTCAGACGGCCCATTGTCCTGTCATTGAGGAATTGCACTGGGTGGCTGTGGCTGTTTTGTTATTTGATCCATATTTCCTCTTGCCCACAAGGCTACTCTGCTCAGCTGATATCAAAATGATAAAGATCTCTGTTAAAAAGTAAAATATCCCCCCCACCCACCCCTTGTTTTTTTTGTACTCTTCAGGAGGTTTTGCTGTTGACAATCTTAAGGGTTGAGGAGAAAAAGATACCTCAGGTAACTCGGCACACTCTGGCAGGACAGTGCAGATTCTTTCTGCTGAGCTCACCTTGAGTTAATTGCAGGAATTTCCCTTTTGTTAAACTTCCCTTTGGGTGCAACACACCTAAGGATAGGCCAAGGTATTCGAGGTACTATTTCATTCTGTGTATGTGTTTTGTCTAAATTTGTGTGTTTCCTTGGAAGGAAGCAAATGTTTCATTTGAGCGAGTGGCTCTCACAGAGGCATCAAAATCCAATCCATATTACACTGTTTTGTGATTTGGACTTTTTTTCTGTACTTGCTGTCAATAAATGCATAAATAAATCAAACACATCAGATGGCTAATGCTTTATGTACCTTGGCAGGAGCAGAGGAACATTTGTGATTATTTATGGAGAAAACATGTGATTGTGTACAATATACTTTTTATAACCACTGTGCAGTCATCACTACGGTGGTCATACACTGATAATAATTATCTACAATGCAGTTCGTCTTGTGCTGTTAATAGTTTCAGCATGCAAACTCCTTCAATACTTAAGCTAAACTATTTTTACACTGGCAAACCAGAGTGTTAATGGTATGGGCTTTCGCTTATTATTCAATTAGAGTAAATGTAGAAAATCGAGGTGGCAGAATAGTTTCAAAATACAGAGTGAGGACTGCTGTATTTTTTTTAAATACTTGATCTTCTAACATGTAGATGCACAGTGTAAAAGTAATAGTGTAAGACTTAAAATGAAAGAAAAGGTGGAATTTTTACCCTCCACTGAATATATTTATCAGTCCCACACGTCACAGCTAGTGATGGAGTAGATTCGTGTTCTAGATTACTGATGACAAATATCTGTACGTATATATGTATGTATTGGCGCCATCCAGTGGCAAATTGAAGTTATTAGATATAAATGCTCTCCATTGCCAACAAGTTAAAACTCGTGGACTGTGTAAAAGACAGACGTTTGAGAAGTCCTGTTTCACAGCTTCAAGTTGATGGTTTATTCCTGGTGGTGTTGGTGTCACTGACCTAATACATTTAATTTAAAAAAATATATTCAAAAAAGGTAATTGGTACACTGAAAAAGCATGGTACTTGCTAATAACTCAAAATGTGTGGCTGGAACTACTTTCTTTCTCTTGACTTCTTTTAAATTGATAAATCCATTAATTTATTTAACATGTCTACATGTATTTTAAGCTAAAAAATAAATAAATAAAAATGCACCTTTAAATAGCCTACAGTCCTTATCGGAATAGACAATTCCTCACTAAATTCTTAAAATCACCAGGCTTAAATATCATTGGAAAGCCACAGCTGTCAATAGCCTTGGTTGATGTGATTCGTGCTGGCACAGCATTTGTTCCCAACCATCTCACATTCCTGAACGTAGCCATTATACTTGTGACAGCCAGCGCGCGTCAGGTTTCAGCACGCGGACAGGCAGCGCGCACGAACACAGCCAGAGCACGCGAGGACACATTATGGGTGAGTACCCAAAGGTCTCCACATAAATCCTATTACAAAACGAGATGACGGAACAATGTGTCATATATTATAACAGACCTGACTATGCATGTAGTCTGTTTGGATTATTATGGGTTTAAATATTTAAATGGAGCCGGTATTTTTCCTGCTTAGTTTGGCTGTGCTAACTTCATGGCTCGCCAAATTTAAATAAACATACCTTCATTCAGTTTGTTAAATCTTTTCAGAATGTGTTCTGACCTCCCCAACTTCTATGTACCATTATAAAATACGTAAAGGCAGGTACTCTGTCCGAACAGCATCATGGGAATAGTAGTCTGCATTCGAATTCAACTGGTGAGTCGAACAGAAACTGTATTTTTTTTACACACTACAATACCCATAATACTGGGCGCTGTCTTACGTCAACCGCAATCACAGTTGTATCTCCAACATGGCGTCGCTGGGAAGGAGGCGCGGTGTCCCAGTAAGCAGGGAGAGGTCAGTTACTCCACATCTTGGCCATTAAAAGAACGTGTTTTAATATGAAGTATTGTTTGGTCGATGACACTACTTGTCAGGTTCCGAACGTGCTTCTCGTTTGGGATTCAGAGTTAAATGTCAACGGGAGAAGTCTGGATTTTTTTTAACCCAGGGTTAGCTCATGTTAGCGGGCTAACGCACACGGCTAGCTGTCGCTAACGAGCAGCTCATGTGATGTTTTGATTATTTCACAGCAAGTGATTGACTGGGAAAAGTTTGGTTATGCCGCTCGTTGGGGCAAACAGCAGTGCTGTATGTGACTGTCGATGTGCCTCACGGTATTGGCTCGGTTCGGAGTGTTGACCGCCTCGTTGGTCGACCTGCTCGCTCTGTAACTTAGCTGGCCGGTCCTCCAACTTTCTGCCAGTCAAGCGAGTTTTCTGTTGCACCTAACTGAAGTACAACTTTCCCCTTGCTCCGTGAGGCTCAGTCGATTTTCCCTAGTATCTTAATATGTCATAAAACTTCACACCTCTGGTGTGAGAAGCATAGTGTTTAGTGTTTTAATGTTTGTTTGTTCGTCTAAAAGAAGGCCTTATATTGTGACCATTTGGTACTTTTAGCATTGGTTAATTGGGACTTTATGGAAAGCAGCTTCCCCAAGTCTTATATTTTTAAATGTGGTCATACACATGTTAAGATCTGTGTGCTGTTTGGACACCATTATGATGTTATGATCCCTAATTACAACGATTGGGTGGTGGATTTTTGGTCTTTAACTTCTTTTGAAATCATAAATTCAACACTTTCACGCACACAAAATGTCCACACTTTTGATTGAAACATTTTGTTATTTATACACAACATTTCGAACACCTAACCTAATCTAACTGCTATAGGATTAGTCAGTTTAACGTGGTGAAACTTTAGTGCCGTCAGTGTAAAAGTCCCGACTAAAACATCAACCTGAACAGTGCGGTTTCTCGGACAACAGTTTGTCCAGCTGTCTAATTAATTACTAGAAAAAGATAATAGCATTCAACATCTTATGCGTTGGGTACAAATGTGCTAGTTAGCTGCAGGTCTGCTGAATCCAGTTTTCAGCTGTTGTATGTCATTGGCTGTCTGTGAATTTTGTGTTGTCTGCGTGGAATTTCGAAAAGCGTAACCACACATAAGACTGCTTTTAGCCACATGGCCTTGCTCTCATTCTTACTCCAACATCCAATTTAGAGTTTTGCAGTGAATCTTTGTAAAGCTTACAATGTTTCCTATGTATGTGGCCAACGCTGTTGCCAACACCTTCTGTGCAGTTGTGTCCTGGAGTTTTCGATGCAAAGGCAGCCATGATAGAAACAAATAACGTTCTGAGACTTCTTTTCCTCCTTTGCTGTGGTCAGTTGATTTCAAAGGCAATTATATTGGTCCCGAAAGGTTTTTTCTGTATGTTCTCTCAGCAATCTCCCTCCAGGAATTTGCCTGCCACCTTTGTGTGCTTACCGTATATTGAGGCTTCTGATTATTAGTCCTGCAAAGATGCTTTCAGTTACTGAGCTGGAAAAGCACTGAATGAATCAACCATACTTGATGGAGCAGTCAGAACAGTTGCGGGCTGTATAGACATGACCATGCTTACACTCCTGTTATCGACTTAAAACTGTGTTAATTCAATTCAATTTTATTTATATAGTGCCAAATCACAACAAAAGTCGCCTCAAGGTGCTTCATAGATACAGAGAAAAACCCAACAATCATATGACCCACCTGTTAGAAGTGGGTGAATGAGCCTCTGGTTATTGGTTAGAGAAATATCCTTCCCTTTTATGTTTGTTAGATGGTGATAGAGTGGACATTTCAGCAGGCAGGAAAAGGGGAAATACAGTCTTTGCTTAATTAAAGTGTGTTTAATGTCATCTGTTCTTACACTCACTGTTGCCTGCCTGTTCCTGTGTTTCTGCACAGGGGTGTGATGGCGGCGTCAGACTGCTACATCGTGCACGAGATCTACAATGGGGAGAATGCACAGGACCAGTTTGAGTATGAGCTGGAGCAGGCGCTGGAGGCCCAGTATAAATACATTGTTATTGAGCCCACGCGGATCGGAGACGAGACGGCCCGTTGGATTACTGTTGGCAACTGCCTGCACAAGACAGCCGTGTTGTCAGGTGCTGCTTGCCTCCTGACGCCACTTTCGCTGCCTGTCGAGTACTTGCGCTATGTGGCGTTGCCCGCTGGCGCCCTCAGCGTGGCCTGTGCCGCCCTCTATGGGATTTCGTGGCAGTTTGACCCCTGCT